AATTTCATCTGTCTTTTTGTTGCCCAGTCACCCAGTTTTGAGAGATCCTTTGGTAGCTCTTCGCAGTCTGCCTGGGACTTAACTATCTTGAGTAGTTCTGAATCATCTGCAAATTTTTCCACCTCACTGTTTACTCCTTTTTCCAAATCACTTATGAATATGTTGAATAGGACTGTCCCAGTACAGACTCCTGGGGGACACCACTATGTAGCTCGCTCCGTTCTGAAAACTAACTATTTATTCTTACCCTTTGTTTCCTATCTTTTAACCAGTTACCAATCCATGAGAGGACCTTCCCGCTTACCTCATCACTGCTTACTTTGCTTAAGAAGCTTTGGTGAGGGACCTTGTCAAAGGCTTTCTGAAAATCTAAATACATTATATCCACTGGATCCCCCTTGTCCACCTGCTTGTTGACCCCTCAAAGAATTCTAGTAGATTAGTGAGGCATGATTTCTGTTTACAGAAACCATGTTAACTCTTCCCCAACAAATTCTGTTCATCTATATGTCTGACAATATTGTTCTTTATTATAGTTTCAACCAGTTTGCCCAATACTGAAGTCAGGCTTACTAGCCTGTAATTGACGGGGTCACCTCTTGAAGCTTCTCAAAGAAGTAGTCATTTAAGGTGTCAAGAAACTTTATCTCCGCATCCTCTCCTGAGGCGATATGTATTCAGTCAATATGGGGATAGTTGAAATCCCCCATTATTGTTAAGGTTTTTTTTTATTTTAATAGCCTCTCTAGTCTCCCTGAGCATTTCATAGTCATTGTCACCAACCTTGTCAGGTGGTCAGTAATATATCCCTATTGTTATATTCTTATTATTCAAGCATGTTATATTAAGAAGGGACTAACTATAGATTAATATCTAATAAAGTTTCCTTTCCTGTGCCAACTCAGCACCCAGTTAACACTTGGGTTCTATTCCTAACTCTATAATTCACAGACTATTTTTATTAAGTCCAGCAGTATGTTTTCCTTCTGGGTATTTTTCCTCCCCTAAAATTCATGCTTTCCAAGAATCCTAGAGACTGCAGTCACGTCAGCTGTGGGTGAAATTCACCCCTGGGCAGTGACATGCACCCTCTAAAGTCCACTTAGACCACATTTGTGACTGAAAGTAAAACTTAAATGTTTATAAGCCTTCTGCTCACTCTCTGTCCAAGGGTAAATTTAATTTACCCTGTTGTTGCAATAACTACCAACTAAATATGGCTGAGAAAAGGAAAAAAGAAATTAAAAGAAATTGAATGACTTACTGGCTATATTAGATTAACATATTTGAGGAAAGATGACCCAAGTAGGATGAAATAACATCTAGATCTTCTATACTAATTTTCATTCATAGATCTAATCTCCCCGCCACTGATATAACTTTTATAATACGTATAATACATATTTATGCTGTTCTAAGTTTGATGCATTCCTTATTTTGTACATTTGACATTCTTTCTAATACTCTTGTAACAAAAACTATCTTGTACTATCAATAATTTATTTTTATCCATAATAAAAATAAGAGTTTAATATTAGCATAGAGAAAAATTGGTAGACAGACAGAAATGTATATTTAACCTAGAGAATTCCCTAACATATGACACCTGAAAGGCTTAGATTATCATATTTTAATGTATTTTTTGGATTTACATGCAGTTACATCATACCCTCCAGATTCCCTTGACATTAAAGAATACAGTAAAAAAACCCAGCAGGACATTGCACTTCCTCCCTTCTCCTGAAACCAATCACTTCTCAGTCTTCAGTTGTCTCAGTCATGCCTAAATACCACTTACTAATGCTATCCATATAAATGGATAATGAAAACCTCTGCAGTTACATTATACTGGATAATTCTATTTCTCCTAAGGGATGTTGTAACTTGGGTACCTCTTGGCACTGACTGACATAGGGCACAGGGTTACATAAAGGTAGAGCCCTGTGTGTATACAAAATTTGTATGTGCATCCGATTCGTGATCTGCAAAAATGGTCTGCGGATATGTGCATCTGCATCTTCATCAGATAAAATTATTCTATATATTATTCCCAAAGTCTGTGACTTGGGACTGGTCAACAGAAGGTGATAAACATCTCTTGCCTGAAAATCTTGTTTATCTACTTGTCTGGCTACATGTAAGTTATGTATTGCATGGCTTCCAATGGCTGTCCATTTACAGTCTGAGCCAAATGCAAATGAAGGGACTGTGAAATCTTCAGGAGAGGAAATTTACAGGAAGAAATAAAACAGCAGGAGGGAGTCCAATTTTCACGTGAAGACAATGTATGTTTTGGACTATAACTGTGGGGATACAGACACAGTAAAAAACCTTCACCTAGGAAGAAAGCTGACAGTGGGTTTGCTTCATAAAAAAAGGATAACAGCAAAGTCTGAAAAATGCTGGAAAGACTTTGGGGGTGAGCTAAACTTTGTTTGATAAGAGGGTATTTTGTTAATTAAGTCTAAGTTCTAGAATGCACATTTGACTTTGAAAATGGGCATTTTAAGCAACCAGACAGATGTCCAGGCCACTGCAGATTCTTGAGATGGACTATCAATTATTCTGCTTGTTTCATTTAGCCATTTAATAGGCCTTTTCAGGAACTTAGCATAACTAAGACAAGCTGAGAAGGGTAGGCAACTATCATAAGAAATGCACTTGACTCAAAGCCCTCTCTGATATGCTGGGGTAAACATCTTTGGAAAAAAAGGAAGTCTGGCTATATCTTAGGATTGTCATTATGGGGAAATACAACTGCCAGACTAATGGCTCAAACCTCTTGCTTAACAATGTGTTTTTTTAGTGACATGTTTTTTTGTAATTCCTGCTTTTGCCTAATGGTTGATTTTGTTTGGTCAGCTATGTAACAGTTTTGATTGACCTGTCTTTGTACCTTCTGGGTTGTAAGAGGGGAATTGTCGGTCTGGGTCAAGTGGATCACTTTGTGGACACATTGGAAAGATCTCCAGCCACAGATCGAAGGCTGGCCATCAGAAATCTGCTGCTGAATCACCTGAAGACTGCTCCAGACTTGTGGTATAACTAATTGTTTGAGGTACTCTGTAACCGATTGTGTTTGAATGTGCTTGAGACTAAATAAAACAGAGACTTTGAGTAAAGGCATTCTGATGAGAGTGCTGGAGACTAATAAAGTGCTGGCTTTACGTGAAAGCACTTGGTTTTGATGTGTTTTTCTCAGCTATATAGAAGACAGAGGCATTAGCCTAAAATATGCAGATCGAGTCTAGGAAGAAAATTCCCCTATGGACAGTTTTTATCTATAGTTGTCTTTTATGGCATTTCTTGCACCTTCCACTGAAGCAAGTGCTTGAGTCAGACACAGGATGCTGGACTAGTCTGATCTGGGATGGCAAAAAAAAAAAAAAAGTATCAGGCCCTAGATGGGTAGGTGCAAAATTCAGCCCCAAGCCTAGGACCCAAGTGTAGGGCTGCTTATTAGCACGCCTTCCCCCTGTTTTTAGCTGCTATTTCTGGATATGTAAAAATATGATTCCCGTGGCCCACATCTAATGCAGCTTTCTTTCTAGCTTATACGGACCAGTGTGGATAACCCTTTCCTCAAGCAGCCCCTAAATGATCATTCCACCTACAATCTCCCTACACTGCATTTGTATTGGATTCTCTGAATGATTAAATGAATTTCACCCCAAAAAGGCAGGGGTTCTGCAGAAATAATAATTGGTGGTTATGTTATTAAAGGCAATCATAATGCATATGAACATTAGTGAACATGCAACTTTAGCACTGATGTTTCTTCACTTTTCAGAGCTTCATTTTGAAGTCTTAATGCTCTCTTTTGTATCGAATATATTATCCAAGTCAGTGAGGTAAATCCACTGTGAACTAAAGTCCCTGCACACATCTGCCCCCACGTTTTTTCTTCTCTTATTTCTTAACATGCATCTCCTCTCTTGCACAACAAATCCAGACTCACCTCTCCCTTCATGTTTTCTTTCAGCTTACATTTTATGCCTCCAACTCCCCCTATCCCCATGTACAAAGTCTCCTCCCTATTTCCTCTAAAATCTCACATCTAAATTCACTGCTACCATACTTCCACAAAAGCTGACCCACATCACTAAAAATACTGTTACTCAACCATTAACAAATAAAGCAAGTCTCTAAAATGGGATCTCCAGGTCTTCTTTTTACATTTTGTGTTGTTCCTTTCTATGTAGCTGGCTGTGAGAGGGTCAGTGCTTTCTTGTGGGTCTTGTTAAACCCCAGTTGCATACTCAGCACTGGAGCTGGGCAAATAACTGATGTTTCTAGTTTGCTGGCAGTTCTGAAAAATTTAAAAATAATGGTTCAGCTCAAACCAAAACTGAATTTTTTGGTGAAGCAAGAAATGTCAGAAAATTTCATTTTGAGTATGTTTAACCTTTTTGATGAAAGCAAGAAAATGAAGTTAATGAAAAAAGGTAGTTCTGGTGCCCCCTCCCCACCTCTAACCAATGGCCACATGGTTAGGACACCTGAGTTTCAGGTTTGAACGCCTATTCTAGAGTAGGAGCTTGAACCTAGGGGAGTGCCCTGATCACCAGGCTCCTAGCTATTCTGCTGTACATCTCTTTCAGTCTCACCTATTGAAGCTATTCCACTTTGTATAAAATATTTGGATAGTCACTGGGCCAGAAAGACAGTATGAGAGTTAATCTATAACCTGGGGGTTAGGGCACTCATGTGGAATGGGGTGGATACCCGGGTTTCACTCCCTGCTTCAATAACATTTGTAACCCTTTTGGAGATGATGTTCCTGAAATACCACACTATGCCTCTAGGGGATTCGCCCCTGGATTACAGCAGCAACGATGGCACAGTTATAACCTTTATTTCACTGCCCTTCTCCAGTGCCTAAAAACCCAAACTCCCATAGAAAAGCACATATACACTCAGAATTCAATCACTGAGGATTTTCAGCAAAGACTGCACAGGGTCAGCCTTCCCACAGCCACATCCAAAAAGAACAAAAGGAATGAACTTAAGAATTAAGTACCAATTTATAGAATATGATGATTAAACATAACGAACAACTTTTTTACAACATAACCTAGATACTTTATAATCCGCATGTATTATCTTCAGTTATACATAGGCATAAATGAAGAAAAAATATATATCTAAACAGGTCACTCCCACAGAAACACAGTGAGATGTAACTCAGAGTTCCCAAAAGCTTAGGCTGAGTTACAGTCTTCTATCACCAAAAGCTATATAGTCTGCTGAGTCAAAAGCACTGTAACAATATCTTCTTTCCTCTTGCTTGTAGAAACCTCCAACTGGAATCCATGCAGACTCTTCCTCCTCCTCTGCTGAAATCACTCACTTAGCTAGTCAGCTAACTAATTAACCAACCACTCAGTTTAAAAAAGAAACCTGTTACAAGAAAAATACAAAAATGAGAATAGCCAATTATAAATGACTCTTTCCTTATCACCACATTCAAATAAGAGAAAAAATTGATTAATGTTAGTAGTTGAGACAATGTTGCTTAAACATTTTCGTTAAAATCAAACATTCAAAGTATACAATTAAAATAAAAGAAATGAGTTTTCCCTACCAATTTCCCCTTTCTGTAATTAACACTGCCAGGGCTTCCCTACTTGAAAGTTAACAATATCACTAATGTGCTGCAAAATGCTTCAGTTAGGAAAAAACAACCTGCTGACTGCTCCTGTGGTTCAGCTTCTCCCAACCCACACAGGTCACATGGCCTTTTGCAAAGCAGCTTTTCTGACTACTTGCCCTCATGGAGTATGAATCGAGCTACAGGAAACCTGGCTCAGCACTCAGTTTCCCAGGCTGGCTAGGGTCCTGGGTAAAGGTAGAACTGGCTAGCAATACTACAAGAATCAATCATAAGCAGTGCACTCAGAGACAAACGGTTTGGTGTTGGCTGTGTTTTGGAGTATATCAGGGAGAGAAACATTGCAGCCGGGCAGGACCCTTCAACCCTCCACATTCTTACCCAAGGGGAGACTGAGTTCTTTTTGAATTTCTGGGACATTGAACAGTGTCAGCTCAGCACAGACCAGAAACTCAGAAGCTCAGGAGAGTCAAAGTCATGCTACCAAGAGCCAGCCTAACTGCGCATTGGGATTCAGACCAAACAGCCACATGGACCATCTTACCATCCTTGGTGTGGATACTTTGTAAGATCACCCTGGTATATTGATTTTGTTTTAATCCATCCACTGACATCAGTCATGCACAACCCATCAAAGACTGAGCCTAAAACTCACTAATTGCATAGGCAGGTGCTGGGAGAGAGCACAGAATGGTTTGTATGGACTGTACTTTTAGGAGGGGTAGAGTTTATGAATTGTTGTTTTTGCCTTTTATTATCCTGATCCCTTTTTCCATTGTCCCCAGAGCTCTCTATACGTGTCAAAGCCATAGTTACTGTTTTATTACTCTGGGAATTGTGAGAACTATTTTATTATTTGTATTCTGAGTGGTACTTCTCTGTAACAGATTGTTTGTGAAATGTTTTCCCAAGAGACAGGCCCTTTGTTTTCTCTTAAATGCGGGGGGAGGGGAGGCTTCCTTTGGGATGAGGGGGAGGTTCCGCGGGGGGGGGGAGGCTGGCTTCCTTGGGTGGAGGCACCAGGTGTCAGGTGCCGTTATAAAATGTACCCAGGACCCATAACCCTGAAGAGAGAAGGCTGAAGACACACCTCAGGGCTGAGTTACACATTGAATAAGTTATACAAAATAGAATAGTTTCTACAAGAGAGACTGAGAGACCCACAGCATCATACCCAATAGGCTGGCAGTTAGGGCACTTATCTTGGAGGGGGATTCAATTAGATTCAAGTCCCTGCACCAGAATGGGGAGTCAAACAAGGTAAGCATCCTAACCACTCAGCTATAGGGTAGAAGGGTGAGCTCCTCCTCCCCGTCAGTTTCATGAATGGCAAATAAAGTCTGTGTAAATCTAGCCTGAAAAATCTACAAATATTTTGTTTTGGTAATGTCAATTATTCCTTTTGACCTTGTTTGTTTGTTTTCAGTTGAAGCAATTCACCAAAATCAACATTTTTCAGTGGGATAAAAAATGTTCTGGGCAAAACACTTCACCCAGCTCTACTCAGCACTGAACAAATGATGACATAATATACCATAATAAGACATACAAAATATAGACAGGCATCAGGAGCCTTTATGCTTCTTTGAATGGCTCATTCTATTATTCTAAATCTTTCAGGAAAATGAACATCCCCATTATTGTCAATGAGAAGATGGTTCAGCTTGAAAGAGAAGCTGCAATACCAGAATGACTCATGTTTAAATTCCGCAATCTTTTCTTAAAGAATTTTTGTAAGTTTTTTTTTTTTTTAATCTTAAAACATCTGTCTTTTTGTCTAATGGAGAAATCTTATTTTTATCAAGAGACAGTTTATAATTCCATTTCCAGCCTCCTAATAAAATGTCTGTCTCGTGAAGAAACAAAATGAAAATATTTCCTGGTGTTTTTGTCTAAGTAAATTTACATTGAACAATGGGTTTTTGATTGAGGTGTGTATATTTCCCTGGAGAGGTGGTTGAAAAAATTAATTTCCCCCTATAATGAAGGTGCTAAAGGCTATTTATAGTCCTTCCTAAAGCACTCATCACTATAGTGCAGGCCTGATCCAAACTCATTTAAGTCAATGAATGTCTTGTCAACTCATAAGTGGTAGTATGCTTCTCCCTACTGCTCCCTTATGAGGTAGGAACAATTTACTACCCACTTTTCAGACAGGAAACTAAATCACATGGATGTTTAGTGATTTGGCTGAGGTCACATGAGATAGGAGACTAATTGTGTTCCATGACCAGTCCTGATTCCCTTTCCTGTGCCTTGTCAATGAGACCATGTTCTGTCTCAAATCAGATCTAATTAAAACTTTTCACTGTCTCTAAGTTTGATTTCTCTTTTAACCATGAAAATCTTCTATACTCATCAAATTTTCTGATGTTTACTATTTTCACAGTTCTATTTAATCTTTTTATATAGTTATATTTATATTATATATATATATATAAGCAGAGACAGGGTAGGCTCCACCCTGACATCTGGTGGTGAGGTGTGGCAAGTTGTGGAAAAGAACTTCAGGGGCTGATCTCATTTGCATAGGCACACCCACCCCACCTAGAATGAGGCCATAACTGCCCAAATGGTCACTTTGGCTGCTGTGGGATCCCCAGTGTCTCTGTTATTGGGGCGGGAAGAATAAAGTGTTAGTACCCTGATTATGGGAACTGTGCTTGGAACTGTACTTGGCCTTTTTGTTATGATGGAGGACTCACCATCAACTGAGTAGCACTCACTAGGCAAGGGACATGGGTTCCAAAACTCTGTGAATTGAGAGAGACTTGAGACAGGTATTAGTGCCTGGTGGTGTAGGCCCCTTTGTGAGGGCCTGAAGCACCAATTGCACCTCTGTCTCTCTCCACTGTGGAATGTCAGAGCTAATTTTGGGTCTATTAAGAGTTTTGTTACTGGTACTGTGCTGAATTCACTTCAGCCTCATGGTGCACCAGCACTAAGGCTCCTACTACTATGAGCTGAAATCACTGAGAGCTGAAATCACTGAGCACTGTGTCAAGTAGTGGGGAGCCGGAAGATCTAGTGTGCAGCGGAGCTATTTGTGAGACGGCAGGGTGAGCAGAGCTGTTTGTGAGACAGCGGTTTGTTCGTGAGACGGCGAGCTGAGCGGAGCCGGTCGTGAGACAGCGGTGCGTTCGTGAGACGGCGAGCTGAGCGGAGCCGGTCGTGAGACAGCGGTGCGTTCGTGAGACGGCGAGCTGAGCGGAGCCGGTCGTGAGACGGCGGTGCGTTCGTGAGACAGCGAGCTGAGCGGAGCCGGTCGTGAGACGGCGGTGTGTTCGTGAGACGGCGAGCTGAGCGGAGCCGGTCATGAGACGGCGGTGTTTTCGTGGACGGCGAGCTGAGCGGAGCCGGTCGTGAGACAGTGGTGTGTTCGTGAGACGGCGAGCTGAGCGGAGCCGGTCGTGAGACGGCGGTGTGTTCGTGAGACGGCGAGCTGAGCGGAGCCGGTCGTGAGACGGCGGTGTGTTCGTGAGACGGCGAGCTGAGCGGAGCCGGTCTTGAGACGGCGGTGTTTTCGTGAGACGGCGAGCTGAGCGGAGCCGGTCGTGAGACGGCGGTGTGTTCGTGAGACGGCGAGCTGAGCGGAGCCGGTCTTGAGACGGCGGTGTTTTCGTGGACGGTGAGCTGAGCGGAGCCGGTCGTGAGACGGCGGTGTGTTCGTGAGACGGCGAGCTGAGCGGAGCCGGTCGTGAGACGGCAAGCTGTGCAGAGCGAAACCGGTCGTGGTGGAGCGGAGCAGAGCCCTGTGAGGCAGTCAGCTTCAGGACACGTAAGGTGCCCCTTACCTCTTTCCCCCACACCCAGGCACATTTTAGCCAGACTGGGGAGTAACACTCTGCAGATGAACTTTTGAACTCCGGGGCTGGACTTTTTTTTGGACTTTGGGAGATTTGTGGATTGCTGGACTCAAGAGACGTTTGGGTTCTGGGACTCAAGAGCCTGAGGGAAAGGATGTGGCCCAATTTTTCTGGGGTGGGTCGGTGTTCATGGTTTGGTTAATGAACACTAGTTGTGGTGTTTCCCCAATTTAATGCTGATGTTGTTTACCTCATGTTATTAAAGATTCTCTACTACACCGAGACGCCGTGCTTGCGAGAGGGGAAGTATTGCCTCCTTGAGGCGCCCAGGGGGTGTGTAAGATTTTCCCAGGTCACTGGGTGGGGGCTCGAGCCAGTTTTGCATTTGCTTTAATGAGAGGGAACCCCTGTGTACTGAACCCGGCCCTTGCTGCTATCAACTTGGCCTGGCAGAAGGGTTACATATATATATATATATATATAGTTATAGAAGTCCACATAAGATAGTAAGTTCTAGTGTGAGGGGGAAAATCCACTAGTGCTATAGCTGCACTACTGCTTGTGGTTTTAACAGTGTCATCAAATTTGAGTTCAAAAATATCTTACAAAAGCTAAAGTGTTTTGAGCTGATAATATGCTACATAATCTTCCTTCAAAGAGCTACATTATTTATAATGTAAAACTAGAAACGGGGTTCCTGTTTCAATATTTATAACCAGAGATCAATGAGACATACAATGCGGTACTATTACTTGCTGAAACCTCTACTACGTGTAAATCCTGATTAGACTAATTTTAACCAAAGAAAAAAACCTCAGAAATTACTTTACAAATAAATAATTGCCATAAATGCCCAGTCTTCTCAAGATTCCATAGAATATCCAGGAGATGCCAAAGATTTGTAATCCCTAAAATGATCATCTCAATCCTTTTAAAAGTAATTTTAAAACAATACTCAGCCCCGCCTTATCAGAAATAATATTTCAATGCTATATTTGCAGGTCCAATCCTACAGTGCATTTGTTGTCCTCAGCCCACATTGATGTCAGCAGGAGTGAAGGGCTCAGCACCTCGCAGAACAACGGCTCTGGTTTGCAAGCAATAGAGCACGATAGGCAAAATAATCAAGATCCTAGACATTGAGGTGTCTAGCTGGAGAATTAGTGTGTGGCAAGCTGGGGTGTACGTCTACAGCACATGAACGTGTTGTTCATCGTCTGGTTGGATGCCGTTACCATACATTAAAAGTTTTATAATGCTGTGCTAAAGAATGCTCATCTTCAAAATGGATTCAAATAAGTAAATGTTTCATTTTCATCATCTTCTGGTGTGGTCTTCTGAGAGGTCTCTGTTTCTCCTGATTGGACCTCCTAAGTTTGTTCTCAGTCAGGTCAGTTCCTGGATTCTCACTGCCAATTAAGTCTATCAGCCCTTCCATTTTAAAACTTGCAATTTCCTCCTCAGCTGTTTTCTTCGTGGTATCCTGGTGCAGGGTTCTCACTCCTTTGCTATCCCAGGCCCTTCTACCTCCCCTTCCATCTCTGTACTGTCCCCTTCACAGCAGACCTTGTTCTTGTTACGTTGCAGCTGTGGGTGTCTGCCTCCATAATTGGCAGCTGAGTGGGGGGTGGTGATCAAGCTGTTTGCTCATAAACAGGCGAGACTCTGCTCCCACCTCTGTCTCTGCTCAGCCTGGGGTTTGTAGACCCCATTACACTCATGCTTTTATAAATAAAATATTCTAGAGTTCAGAAATGTCTGACTTTTAAAACTGAAGTTAAGAGCACACAGGAAATCTAAGAAACCATTAAAAACCATTTGCTATTTGAATGTATGAACTAAAAAACATACAAAAATCACCTTTGAATCTCAGGAAGCTGATAAAAACATTTGTGTTATACAATTAAATTCTGTATTATTCAAAAACTCTGTCACTGAACTATGTCAATATCAGACATTAAAATTGCTATGCTCTTGCAGAATGAAATGAAATTTGACTTAATAAACCAGGTATTCTATAGTGCTTGACAACAGTTAAAAAGAAATTGGTGGCTCAGGAGGGAGTAGGTTCCTGATGAGTTAATGCATTCACCTCTGGAAACTTGAGTGCATGTTCTTACCTTATTCCTGTTGTGCATAATTTCTGAACATCAGATTTCAGCATATAATCAGTTGCTAATCAAAAGAGATCCAAAAACCCTTGGTGCTGAGCAGCAGGTCAAGGCTGAGTAGCATTTCTAGGGCTCTGTAGGATAGAGTAGTTTGATCAGCACCCGCACCTGCCCAAGAAAACTCAGTTCTATTCCCACATCTTTCAGACTCTTTCCTCAGGGCATGTTTATTGATTCAGACACAAACTCAGAAAACAGGCTACATAGGCCTTTCCCTTTGCAATTCTCTCTCCTCCACTGGAAGAGGGACACATCCATCCCTTTAACTCCTTGCTGAATCACATGACAGGCAGGTAACTGATCCCTTTCCAGGCTGTTCTAACCTGTCATAGGTAGTTTCAATATTACTTGCATTATTCCAGTTTTTAACTTGTTCTATGAGTTCTTAACTAACATGAGAGCTAAATTCAGCTAAGGGTCCAACTGAGAATTTTTTATACATCCCAAACTCTTAGACTTCAGTAGAAATCAACCTTTATGATTTCAGTCAGAAATCATCTGCAAAAGGTTTGTTCTCATGGCAGTAAAACCCCCATTGGGCCAACCGTGAGGAATCATTATCTGCATTGTCACTGAAGTCTTTCAAGACAGTACACTTGGATGAGTCCCACAGCTGAGTTGTCACATATTCAGTTCATTGAGAAAGTTTGAGGTGTAGCAGAGTGGGCTATGAATTATGACCGTTCTCACTTTACTCCTGTCACAAGTTATGCAGGAAGTGAACACAGTCAAAGGAATCAGCTAAGAGACAAACTGAATTTGTCACGTTTCAGAGTAACAGCCGTGTTAGTCTGTATCGCAAAAAGAAAAGGAGTACTTGTGGCACCTTAGAGACTAACCAATTTATTTGAGCATAAGCTTTCGTGAGCTACAGCTCACTTCATCGGATGCTCAAATAAATTGGTTAGTCTCTAAGGTGCCATATGAATTTGACATCTCTTTGATCCTCCTGTGGCCTATGGAGGTCCAAGTGCACTGACATATGATTATTGTGCAAAGGAAGCTCCTGGTGTATCAGTTGCAATCCCAGAATTTCTATCCATGGTCAAATTATAAATGATAACTTTATTAGCAACTGACCTTGAATTCAGCTTCAGGAACTGAAGAACAGTTTCCTTGTTGCATAATGCCCTATGGAGGAATGGCTCCAATGTTTCCTTTGTGTTGGATGACAGTATGCTGGAAAGGGAATACATATTATCCAAGGAAGAATGAGGAAATTAATGTTAGGTTTCAGAGTAACAGCCATGTTAGTCTGTATTCGCAAAAAGAAAAGGAGTACTTGTGGCACCTTAGAGACTAACCAATTTATTTGAGCATGAGCTTTCATGAGCTACAGCTCACTTATATTCTGTCTTGGCCGGGGATAGACCAGGAATGGAGTCTTAGAACTTTTAGTAAGTAATCTAGCTAGGTATGTGTTAGATTATGATTTCTTTAAATGGCTGAGAAAAGAACTGTGCTGAATAGAATAACTATTTCTGTCTGTGTACCTTTTTTGTAACTTAAGGTTTTGCCTAGAGGGGTTCTCTATGTTTTGAATCTAATTACCCTGTAAGGTATCTACCATCCTGATTTTACAGGGGGGATTTCTTTATTTCTATTTACTTCTCTTTTTTTTAAAAGTCTTCTTGTAAGAAAACTGAATGCTTTTTCATTGTTCTCAGATCCAAGGGTTTGGGTCTGTGGTCACCTATGCAAATTGGTGAGGCTTTTTATCCAACATTTCCCAGGAAAGGGGGGGTGCAAGTTTTGGGAGGATTGTTCATTGTTCTAGTGAGCTGTAGCTCACAAAAGCTCATGCTCAAATAAATTGGTTAGTCTCTAAGGTGCCACAAGTACTACTTTTCTTTTTGCGAAATTAATGTTTATTCTTCTCAAAGAAGATGTCTTCAGTTACTACATTATACTCTATAGGTTCACAAAGAGAAGATTTAATCCCATATATTCAGGTAGCTCCATCTCCTCCAGGACTTTTCTGCAAAAGTTGATTATCATGTAGTGAAAACAATGCATCATAAGAATTAATATCACTCCTCTACAGGAAATTGGGCAGACGCTGTGCTTAGAAACTGGCAAGCTTATATTTTTTGATTAAATATGAACTTGTTTCCTTCCCTATAAAATCAATACAGTAACAATCCCCATTTCTTTTCATTTTCTTCAATGAAAACCGTCTCAAAGGAAGACTGCCTCAGAGGAAGACCAGGAACTAATGAGCAGCAAGCCTTTTTCTTAATCACTGTGTCTTTAGGGTCCTATTTAGTCTTTGGAGGCTCTTAAGCTGTTTTGTTCTTTAAATTAAAGTTATTTTCTTGTACAGCATTTTGATTTTTGCTCTCCCTGTAGGAGGTTTCTATAGGGATAAGTTGCTTTATTTGTTAATGACCTTTACTCTTTTGCTTTTGAAGTCTCAATTTGTTAGAGGACCTATTTCTTGTCATTATTTATGATTTTTTTTTTTTTTTTTACTGTTTGACACCTGGAGGATAAATCAATGTCAAATACTGACACTGTTGATTGTTTATGAGCAATTGGAAAGGCTTGGAAAAACACACACATTGGGGGCCTCATCCTGTTCCCTTGGAAGTCATTGGTAAACTTCCTTTAACTTCAGTTGGGGGAGGGGATAGAGCGACTGCATTCTGCCCCCAGTCAGGCCTGGGAGAAAATGTGTGTGGAGAGAAACCCAGCCGACACTACCAGTCAGGCTTTGGTGAAGGTAAAAAGACTCACTCGCTCTCAGTTGCCTGTGCCAGGCCAGTTAGTATAGGGATGTAGTGAAGAAACCTCTAGCTCCCCCACCCCCTATGCCATGCCTGGCATAAAGACTTCCACCTAGCCTCCCTCCCCAAGATTTGGGGGTGAAAGAGCTGAAGTAATTGCTGACTGGTACTTCCTGCAGGCCTGGGGGGAAGATATGAAGAACTTCCATATCCTTCCCCGCAACCCTTCTCAATCTAAACAAGCAGTTGCAGGAAAATAAAGTGGCAGAGCAGTAGGATTACGCCTTCTTTTACAGGAGGGGAAAGAGAGTAAAAAGAGCTTGGCTGGAGATGCCAGCTTCTCTTAAAGATGCAGTTGTACAGCTGCCTGGGAAATAGTTTCCCCATCCTGTGAAAATTTTTCCAGACCAGAAAAAAAAAAAAAAAAAAAAAGAATATCTGTCCCAAATTAGGATTAAAAAGTCAATCTCAAACTTTCATGAACCAAAAATCTGAAAAAAAAAAAATCATCAATTGATTCAATCAAAACATTTTGGTTCAGTAATTTCTAAATTTTTCATTTAGATTTCAACCATCTTTTATTCTTTTAAATGTGTAACTATAATTAGCTTACAATTCAAACCAAAAAGTCATTTTGTACTAGGAAATTAGGTTGTTGGTTTTTTTTTCATTTTGAAAATGTCTAAGTGAACTGTTTAGGCAATTCTGACATTTTTTCAAGTAAAAAAAAAAATCAAAATCAACCATTTCATGTAAAAAGTTCAGTTTTGACAATTTAGCATTTTCTGATTGGGGAGGGAGAAGCTTCGTAAAAATTTCCTGATCTGTTCTAAACAATTAATAAACCCTTGCTAAAGAGTTTCCTCATTATACTTCAAATCTCTTTTCACCTTCCCTCAAATCTTCCTTTTTCAGGGTAGTGTTATTAAGAAGCTCATGGTGAAGCAATTCCAGAAATATCTGCAGTCCTCAGATCTCTTTAACCCAAGATAATTTGCTTTTAGGACTGGATATTTAATGTACACTGTGTTAGTTATTTTGAGTGATTTTCTTCTTTGAGTGATGGATTAAATTCAGTTGTCCATGCTGACTGTCATCTAATAAATTTTGATAAAGTTCACCATAAATAGTTGACCTATCTGCAGACACTAGCAGGACAGTTGTGCTAGATCTTGAATTATTCACCGTTTTTTCTTTCTTTCTGATGGATGCCAGAGGGCAATATTCAATTATTGTCCATCTGAAGTATGTTTCCTCATGGTATACTTCTGTTACTCCTGTTCAAAATGTGTACAGGACCATTAAGAATGTTAGTGAGTTGGTATGGTCTGAAGTATTCTTGATAGGTGGATCACACCAAGCTCACTACATCCATTTTATCTGACCAGTCTACTATTTATGTGAAACTACCTAATGCTGGAGAGATTGGGCACTGTGGAGAACTATTTGATTGACACTCACCATAGATAAATCTGGGAGAGGCTGTATAGCTGCTGTTCGCTACTTAGGTTTGCATCCTAGGGTCTTTGTGCATTCCTATCTTGCCGTGTTTGCTAAATGTGGATTGTTTTAACATAATTATTTTGTTGGGAGGACAGGGAAGCTTGCACCTTTTCATTCAGCTGAAGACTGGACCACAGCTATATATGTAATATTACTGGGAGTTACCAACTGAGACCATTACAGATAACCTTATAAGTTCTGAACGGTTGAATATATAGACAGATCTTGGAGAATGTTATCTTAGTTGTGATCCAGTTCTTTTGGGAACCTGAACATGTTAGCAATGCAAGTTTGATTACTGCCTAAATCTGTCTGACTGAAATCCTTTTTTCAAATGCAGAACTGCTGCTTACACATAGAGCAAATCAGGAATTGCATCTAGTGCAGAATAAGTTTTAATGAAGTATCTGTGTTCCATTATCTGCACTGGTGATTAAGTGATTTACAGATGGACTTCAAGGTATTGGCTTTGTTTTATTATACAAAACCCAAAGTGGTTTGGTCCCATTCTCCATCTCAGTTATGAATAGCTGAAGCTGATCACATATCTCTTAACAGAAATTAGACATGAAGTGAGAGGAAATAGACTCTTTCATGAACTACTAAAAGTAAAACTTCAGACCAAACACTATTCAATACGATGCAATCAACAGCAGTTTTGCAAACAGATAATATAAAGGCACACTGTCATAAATTTGAGAGTTCTAAATTGTTGATTTGTTTCATTTGATAGAATCCTGTTAATTTCCTTCATACCATTTTAATAGTAGTCCCCTCCTCCCCAAACACTTACATGATTTTTGCAGTCCTGGCTGACATGAACCTTTCAGAACCCATAATAACTACATAATTATGCAAAAAGAACAGGAGTACTTTTGGCACCTTAGCGACTAACAAATGTATTTGAGCATAAGCTTTCATGGGCTACAGCCCACTTCATTGGATGCATGCAGTGGAAAAAACAGTAGGACAATTTTATATACACAGAGAACATAGAATATAAGGGTTGGAAGGGACTCTACAATTGTAGTTGTAGAGCTTGTTTTTGTAAGATAAATTTTAGAACTTGTGAAAGGTACCTGGTTACAGTTACTATTGCTGTCTGTCTTGTATTAAAAACCAAACCAAACTACAGTAGCAGCATTGCAAGCTTACCAGCCAGCTTACCTTGCTAGTGGACTTTTTCTTTGACCAGGAAAGATCATTGGGGAATGTTACTGGGGAATGTAATTTGATCTCTGTGTACAAGCAGCAGTTCAATTAACACCAACTGTTGTACGGGCACAGATGCATTAAGTAATGGACTAGAGCAGCAGCTCCTGTCACAGAGACACCAACATGCCAGGAAGTATAATAAGTTTGGGTCATGCATCCAATTACCAGTTCATTAAACAATCCAGCCCCCTTAACAAAAGAGTGGTTTTTCATTCTATAGAAGTAAACCTCTTCCTACATTCATCGAGAGCCACATTGTGCCTGGGTCTACCCAAAAATGCAGACAGAATATTGAGAATAAGGAAACTTCCTTACTCTTGCTAAGGGCTGGTAGTGGTGCAGTCATGTGCTCAAGGGAGGACTGGACACAGGCACATATCACCACAAAGTGAGAAGGCGGAAGAGGAGGAGGCATGTCTGTGTCCAGTGTCTTCTTGGCTGTGTCTTCTTATCTCCTGGCAGGATGGGGACTCTATCCTGGAAATCAGGGACTCTGAAAAAGATTTTGGGGATTGTGGTGAATAATCAGCTTAACAGGAGCTTCTAGTGTGACGCTGTGGCCAAAAGAGCTAATGCAATCCTTGGTTCCATAAATACGGGAATCTCAAGTAGGAGTAGAGAGGGTACTTTACCTCTGTGTTTGGCACTGGTGCGATCACTGCTGGAATACTGTGTCCAGTTCTGGTGTCCACAATTCAAGAAGGGTGTTGGTAAATTGGAGAGGATTCTGAGAACAGTCATGAAAATCATTAAAGGATTAAAAAAACTGGCCTTATAGTGAAAGACTCAAGGAGCTCAATCTATTGTGCATTACAAAGAGAAGGTTAGATGGCGACTTGATTATGGACTAAGTACCTACATGGGGAAGAAATATTTAATAATGGGCTATTCAATCTAGCAGAGAAAGTTATAACATGATCCAATAGCTGGATGTTGAAGCTAGACAAATTCAAACTGAAAATAAGGCACACATTTTTAAGAGTAAAAAGAAAAGGTGTACTTGTGGCACCTTAGAGACTAACCAATTTATTTGAGCATAAGCTTTCGTGAGCTGTAGCTCACGAAAGCTTATGCTCAAATAAATTGGTTAGTCTCTAAGGTGCCACAAGTACTCCTTTTCTTTTTGCGAATACAGACTAACACGGCTGTTACTCTGAAACCTGTCATTTTTAAGAGTGAGTTATTAACCTTTGGACTATTTACCAAGGATCATGGTGGATTCTCCATTACTGACAATTTTAAAATCAAGAAAGGATTTTTTTTCTAAAAACTGTGCTCTAGGAATTATTTCAAGAAAGTCCTCTTGCCTGTGTTATACAGGCGGTCAGGCTAGATGATCAGAATGATCTCTTTCTGGCCTTGGAATCTAGGAATCATACCAACCAGCTCACAAAGCTCAGTGGACATGCAGGAGGGGAGGGAAGGCTGCCTCATCTCAAAGGATGTACCTTTTGAATTTCTCCTTAAGCTCTCCTTAGGAAGGTGCAGCTTCCTGCCAGTCCCAGTGTGGGTCTGTGCCTTTTAAGGCACAGTTTGTCCCTTTAGAGTAAATACATAGGGTTAATTCTGTTTCAATGTTCCTTCTTCAACATTAGTCCCCTTCCAATTGAGCATACATTGTTTTCTATGTGGACAGTAGAATTCAATGCTAAGCACTTCCCAATTAAAACAAACCAACCAACTGACCCATAGAACTTAAATTTGACTGTTTTCTTCACTCTGAATGGCTGTCCAGTTGTCTTAGGTATTATAGGAGTGATTCATAATGTAGTGGGAGAAATGCTTCTTGACTGCTGCACAACCCTTTAAACTTACAAAATCTACATATTATAAAGATACTTGACCTTCTCTGAAGGCTTGCTCTTTAATATTTGAAAATCCAGACATCACAATTACTGAAAGCATGACTCTCACTTAACAGTGTTATCTCTTTCCTGTCACACGGCCGCACACACTACACAGGAACTAAACATTTATTCAGCAATGATTTTTTAAAAGACTTGCAGCACAGTAGCAATGACAGAAGGGCTATAGTTTTACAAGGTAGTAATAATTCAGCTCCCTAACTAAGATTATGGCCTGTGGCCTCATAATTTGTCCTCTCAGGTGAGAGATTGCAGGCTTTCAGAACAGTGTAATGGTTCTATGTGATGAGGTATACAAACCCCATTCTGGGACTTAGGTTGCCAGGTGTCCGGTTTTTAACTGGAACGCACGGTCTGGTTGGCAGTGAAGCAGGCCTAAGGCAGGCTCCGTGTGGCTCCCAGAAGCAGCAGCATGTCCCCTCCTCCGGCTCCTATACATAGGGGCCAGAGGAGGGGAACCAATTGAAGCTGCAGGTGCAGCACCTGCGGATGGGGCAGCACGGAGAGCCACCTGGCTGTGTCTCCGTGTAGGAACCAGAAAAGGGACATGCTGCTGTTTCTGGGAGCTGCCTGAGGTAAGTGCCGCCTCGAGCCTGCATCCCTCACCCCTCCCATGCCCCAAACCCCTGCCCCAGCCCTGATCCGCCTCCCACCCTACAAACCCGTCAGTCCAAGCCTGGAGTCCCCTGCTGTACCCCAAATCTCTCATCCCTGGCCCCACATCAAAGCCTGCACCCCCAGTTGGAGCCCTCAGAGACCCCCGCACCCCAACCCTCTGCCCCCTCCTGCACCCTGAACCCCTCATTTCTGGCCCCACCTCATAACCCACATCCCCAACCCAGAGCCTGTACCCCCTCCCATACCTCAACCCTCTAATTCAGCCCAGACCCCCTCCCATACTCCAAACCCCTCCACTCCACCCCCAGCCTGGAACCCCCTCCCGCACCCTGAACTCCTCATTTCTGGCACCATCCCAAAGCCTGCACCCCAGCTGGAGCCCTCACCCCCTCCCACACTCCAGCCCAGTGAAAATGAGTGAGTGAGGGTGGGGCAGGCGAGTGACAGAGGGAGTGGGGATGGAGTGAGCAGGGGTGGGTTCTTGGAGAAGGGGCAGGTGGTCAGAGCAGGCGGCAGAGCAAAGGGGTTTGGTTTTGTGTGAGTAGAAAGTTGGCAACCCTATCTGGGACAGAAGGGAGTAAAGGATAGTTCTGGGCCTAGGTAGCCCAGCCCCACCAACCCTGCAGAGCTTGCTCCATCTGGAGACAGGGTTGAAAACGTAGCAACCAGCTCAGAAGACTGAAGAGGAGTACAGACTTATCCTGAATGCTCCTGCCAAAAGGGGCTAGAGGTACCTCCCTGAAGTACAAGAACTGTATTCTAAGCCTGGTTGGGGCTGACAATTTGGTTACTTCTTGTTTTTATTTTTCCTCATATGGGACTAGAAGCAGAGGGAAACAGTGGTAGGAAGTGACACACTGGTCATCAAACAGTGCTGACACTATTAAGGCCCTGGGTTGGGGCCTGGTGGAGTCGGTGGGCCAGTGCTCTCCTACTACTGCTCCAAGACTGAGTGGATGCTAACCACTAGGCCTCCCAGCCTCTGAGGACCCTATTACATCCTATCAATATCAAGAATATCAATAGTGATCATTATGCTTCACCTGAACTGTCTTCCTGCATTCTTATTTCATTTGCAAGACACATTAAAGGTAAGGTGCATTAAATTTCTTCCTTACACAATCTTGTCTCAAAACCACTGGGAAAGGCTTTGGTAAAACAATGCACAGTAAGATAAAACCTCACTTTTGTATATATAATTTCTACACCCATATAAGCAGCATTTCTACACCCATATAAGTAGATATACTAGTTGTTAGATTCAATGTACACTGACAATGAGCTGCATTCTTCTGTAGTCTGTCCATAGTTTGGTTAAACCAATGGCATTTGGCTTCATTCCGGTCAAGTAGAATCTACATTCCTTACATTAATTCATCTGAATTATGATAGGTGACATTAAAATTTGATCAGTGAATGTGAGTGATTGCAACATAAAACTGATGATAAAAAAAAAGAAGCAAACCTTGCTACATTGGTTTACACTTTCAATATGAAAGCAGTGTCTCTGGCTGTAAGCAAGTGTTATTGCTAATGATATTGTGTATGCTACTATGGACATTCCACCAGGGGACATCTGCACAAATCTTGCTAGGGACAGAAAATTGCACATGTTTCTTTATGACAAAATGAAGGGAGACTTAAAATCTAATTTAAAATATGCACCCTGAAAGACATTATTTTTAATTAACGAGATATGTTTTTATTAACGCTAGCTGATGTGTATGTTCATGGTCAAAAATAGTCATTTTAATAGGTTAGGGAGAATAATGCTATCATTTTTTTTCTATTTCTATTTTATTTTTCTAGATGTAACAGATAGGAAAGAACTATTATTAGCTAGTCTATCCTTCTGCAATTTCAGGAATGTTACCTATCGTATTTTGTCATGTTCTATTTTAAATGAAATTGAAAGTCTTCCAGCACTTCCCTTAATTAAACTGTTCCATAGTCTCTTGGTGAAGCTGTTCTTGTTTCCATGAGGGAACAGATCAGGGAGGCAAGAAGGTTGCTGAGCCATAAAAATCATCAGCTGTTGTAGCCTCAGAGGGTATGTCTACACTGCAATTAGACACCTATGGCTTGCCCATGCCAGCTCACTTTGGCTCCTGGGACTTGGGATAAGAAGATGTTTAATTGCAATTTAGAGTTTTGGGCTGCACCCCAAGCTTTGGGACCCTCCCACCTCACAGGGTCCTAGAGCACAGGCTCCAGCCCAGGCTTGAATGTCTACATCATAATTAAACAGCCACTTACCCCGAGACCTGTGAGGCCAAGTCAGCAGGCACAGGCCAGCCACTGTTTTTTAATTACAGTGCAGACATACCCTGAGAGTTCCTCGGAAATAGACAGGTCTACACCAGGACTCACAATCATAGAATTGTAGAAGATTAGGTTTGGAAGAGACCTCAGGAGGTCATCTAGTCCAACCCCTTGCTCAAAGCAGGACCAGCACCAACTAAATCATCCCAACCAGGGCTTTGTCAATCAGGGCCTTAAAAACCTCTAAGGATGGAGATTCCACCACCTCCCTAGGTAACCCATTCCAGTGCTTCACCACCCTCCTAATGAAACAGTGTTTCCTAATATCCTAATAGACCTCCCCCACTGCAACTTGAAGCCATTGCTCCCTGTTCTGCCATCTGCTACCACTAAGTACAGCCTAGCTCCATCCTCTTTGGAACCCCCCTTCAGGTAGTTGAAGGCTGCTCTCAAATCCCCCCTCACTCTTCTCTTCTGCAGACTGAACAAGCCAGTTCCCTCGCCTCTCCTTGTAAGTCATATGCCCCAGCCCCCTGATCATTTTTGTTGTCCTCTGCCAGACTCTCTCCAATTTGTCCACATGCCTTCTGCAGTGGGGGGCCCAAAACTGGATGCAATACTCCAAATGTGGCCTCACCAGTGCCAAATTGAGGGGAATAATCACTTCCCTCAATCAGCTTGCAATGCTCCTACGAATGCAGCCCAATATGCCATTAGCCTTCTTGGCAACAAGAGCACACTGCTGACTCATATCCAGCTTCTCATCCACTGTAATCCCCACAAGCACTGGCTGGGAGGTGAAAGGGGCCAAGGTCAGCAGTATGTTATGTGGGTAAACTCCTGCAGGTTTGAAAGGGCTGCTGCTGCTCAAGAGAGTAATACTCCTTGAGGTCTACTCAGTATTTTCCCAGCCATGCCCCCCCAAACCATACCTTGAACACTGTATCTGACTAAACACACTGTTGTTGGCTATCCCTGCTAA